AAAAAAAAAAAAAAAAAAAAAAAAAAAAAAAAAAAAAAAAAAAAAAAAAAAATATCGCCATAGATCCCTAAATAACGCAGAAACCAACTCTTGTAAAGTTATTTTTAAAACAAACTTATTTACACTGGTTAATGAAATTATTAATCTTCTTCCACTGACATGCGTTGGTTACGGCGTAAATTTATAAGTTACGATAGACGCATAATATCATGGTTTGGAACAAAAAAAGATCGTTCATTACCAACAACATTATCATGATTTTTTTTTCCAATGTAATTGGATAACAAAGATAACGTTTCTTAGCATTGTCCATCAAAGTGTCTTACAGTTGAACCGGCAATTGTCAACCAAGCAATTCGAATCCTTCATCAGACACGGGTCCAGGAACTAAAAAAATTCCATCGATATCAAGTGTGACCATCAGACATTCTTCAACTAATCTTTGTCTACTCACTGGGTGATGCCGTCGCTCCCAAAGCTTCTGCTGCCACATCTTCCGCTGGAGACCAATTGGCTGGTCTTTCCGAGCACAATTCGAATAGGGGTTGTTTTTCGTTAGCAATTAGCTCATCTTGCATCAACCTGCACAATAATCTAAAGTCCTTTTCATTGGCGCAAAAAAAACACTGGAATAGAAGAAATACTTGTTGAATGTTTGGATTAAATGGAAAAAAAAAAAAAAAAATTGCGAACCAAAGCAACGGAAGGGTCCATTTCCATAATTGGTATACGATTAGCAATTTTACAATGGTAAGTGGCATCTATATCAACTTCATTGTCTTCAGACTTTTGATCCACGCTACCTGATCGCTGTGTCGTATGAGGATCCAAGAAAATAACTTCATCACCTGGATAAATTTAAAATTATGATTAAACTTGCTTGCTATAGTTTAAGTTAGTTATTATCAGCACTCACCAATGTAGCCAATAAAATACAGAGCATGACTTGGCTTTCCCCCGATTAATCCCAATGATTGTGGGAATTGAAAGCAAGTCTGAAATATGAAGTATCGGTGACGAGGAGGCACAAAAACATGTCATTGATAAATAAATAATGTTTACTTTGAGGCCATTTATGTAAATGGGGTTTATTTCGTTCAATCCTAGTCTAAGCGGTATTAAAAGTAACAAGGGTTTCCATTGGCTTGGTGCTTTCAAAGGCTTTTCACCGTCAACTTCTGCTGTAGTTGCTCCTTCCACGCGACACTGTCTCACTGTAAATGCATACATAACTATGTTAGCACTTGTATACTTAAACAAACGCAATTGCGTACGTAATGTACATATATATATTTACCAACGTCATTAATGACCAATGCATTATCCAGAGCAACGTGAATAGTAATGGAACTCCAGTCGTCGTACACAACTAATTTTCTACAGAGAGACAAGATGATATGATATATTGTTAAATGCCTTTTTTGGATTAAATCGATTGAATTACGGCTTACTTTAACACTTGAGCAATCGTGTTTGGACCAAACCATTGGCCAACGTCTTTTCCTTCCGATGCTCCCATTAATGCAATTTGGTGAATAGAATAGGGAGCTGCTCTTCTGTCTTCGAAACGTTTCAATATATTCAAGTAAGTACTCGTTCTAGTTTCCGGTGTCCATCGCCATTCTCTACCTAGTATAGGGGGATGAAAAAAATATTTTACACATTTTATTCGTTAAAACGTGCCATGAATAATAAAAAAAAAGTTATACCCAAGTGTAAAGATACAAGCGCTTGTCCAAGAACCATTTGACCACATCTCAACATGCAGCCCCAGCCTTTGTCGGATGTAAACGTGGATCCAAAACCACCAATGGGAACAAATCCTTTGCGATATGTAAACCAAAGTCTTGATCGAATGTCCTTACGAATGGCCTCTATATCTAAAAGAATTACAACACATTCAAGGAACAAGAATCGTTGCGAAAATGAGCCATCCGATATAAACATTAATGGGGGTAACCTCTTTTGGCATTGTATTTTTTTCCAAGTATCCAGACAGTGCCTTCCGTTTGAGGTATGTCGTTTGAGGCTTCGTTGGATAGAGTTTGTGTAAACAAATTATCCATGATACTGATCCTGGTATACAGTAACTCTGGTAGATTAACTAGTGTCTCGTGCGGAATAAGCACGCCTGAGCACTGAAAAAAAAAAAAAAATGAAAATAAAACGGTTCTACTTGTTAAAAAACGCGAGATTTTCCAAGTGAGATTCATAATAAACATATCACTGCTCACCTTAAACAGATTCGAAAACATTTGACTAATGTCTTGAGTAATGTGTAGGTGTCACGATAAACATATTATTATTATTATTATACACTAAAAAACAAGTGATGCTTCTAAATTATGGAGGATAATTATACAGTACTGAGACAATGTTTACACAAGAGAGAGTCTGATTTATAACACTTTTATCAACAAGAACTGAACTGGTTAAACAATAATTACACTTGAAAGATTCGAATTATATGATCCAAAATAATTATTTGCCATTGTACCTATAGTGTATCTTCTCACAAGGCTCAATGTTGACATATTATGTATGTATTCACTTTTCACGACTTGACAAATGTTGCTGCTGCAGCTCTAGGCTCTTTGTAATTTTTTTTTTTTTTTTACTTCACCGAGGGTACTTGTAAACAATATTGAACACAAGCTATACACTCAAGGCATCGGTACAGTGCTCTGATTTTTAATAAACACGACAGTGGTTATCGGGGTCTACATATTTGCGTTAGTTTTTTTACCAGCATCTCAATAGTGCAGCAGCATACAGTAACTAAATTCCAAGTGTTGCAATCTATTGCCATCGATTACTGATAATTAGTTTGCTTGCTTACGATAGTGAAAATACGTTTACAAAAATGGGATGGATTGTGATATGAAGAGCGTATCAACAAGAAAGTGTGTCAAAAACGAGCCTTTTGCACAACCATCAACAACTGTACCTGACTGTACTGTATGTAACAGTGAGTTCTCACATTCACTACCTGTACTTGTTCGCTCCAAGGGTTGGCGTGGTGGGGATAAAGAGTTCGACAGTGCTTCGAATAGTGGCAGTAGTGTTTTGTGATGAACTGGACCGAGGTTTTAAACAAATTAAACAAAAAAAAAATACTGACTTCATATCTTAACAATTGATTGCAGCTGGTTTACAATTGATTGAAGCTCTGATTTAGAATTTTCGAGGCCACTTTTCACGAAAAACTGATGACCGCTAAATGGCGCTGTTTCAAATAATTGTTACTACTTACGGAAGAGCTGTTCAATTGATTATGAACCAGCCGCAACTGATGTAACAGATAAAAAATAAAAAGTTGACAATGCCAGCATTGTTTGCGGCGAGTTTACAATCTATCTTTTGCCTAATAATCAACCTTATAAATATATAAACTTTTGAAAGGAAATATTCAAGTGTAAAATGATTTGTATACTGAACGTTAGTTGCGGCTGCTTTCTGATTGTTTAAATAGAGACTTAACTAATACAATTTAATTATTCTTTGTACAATTGCGAAGGCCTAACATAAAAAAGAAAAAATTTTCAAAAATTTTGATGATCCTAAATTTGGACTCGAACACGCTGAAAAACTAAGATTTTGAGTTCAGACGAAAACTAGATATTAAAAGGGCCGTATCTCCGTAAATAATAAAGATAGAGCGAAATAAGCCTTAATTTGGGATCATCAAAATTAAAAAAATTTTTTTTTTTTTTTTTTTTTTTTTTTTTTTTTTTTTTTCAATTTTCACAGTCACATACACATTAACGCGCATTGCAGTTTGCTGCTAATTACGCGCGCGACAAGCTCGTACCCAACATTGTGCAAACTATTGTGGAATTGAAAAATCTAACATCCGGCAAAATTCCTGAAAATGCGAGAAAATTTGAAAATTCCAACGAAAAGAAAGATTTGGGTAAGGATATCAAAACTAGTACAAAAGTCGAGTTGGCAAAAAAAAAGTCTTTGTGTAAAACGATGGCTACCAAGATGTCGCTAACCGACGATTGTACCATCGTTGGCATTACCGATCCAGAAATACTCAGTAAAATTGATAGTATTTCCAAAACCATTACCAGACAAGTAAGTCTTTTTGCTCAAAGCTTTTGCAAGTATTTGTAAGATCCAATGTTTGTTTACACGCACAGGTAAAACCAAACTTGAAAAAATCAGAAGCTAAAAATATGACAAAAGTTGATGCCACGAGTTACTTGAATGGAAACGAAATAAATTACAGTAAATTACTAACGGACCAAATTCTTTCTGCCGACAAACTTTTGGTTGAAATAGCGAAAAAGAACATGGATGTGGCAGGTGTGTTTTCTCGAGTCTTGTACATAGCATCGAGTTTTAAGCATACATTTATCGATAATTACGTTGAAATCTCTTTCTATGTAGGCACAACTGCTCTCATAGCCATCATAGAGGGTAATAAATTGATAGTTGCCAATGTAGGCGATTCCAGAGGAGTCATGTGCGACGGAAAAGGCAACGCGATCCCACTGTCGTTTGATCACAAGCCTCAGCAGGTGAGTGTATGAACGCTCGTCTTTAGCGCATGATTTTATTTCATTTGTTTGAAACGTTTTAGCAAAGAGAAAGAAATCGTATCTACAAAGCAGGTGGTGTGGTAACTTTCAATGGAGTGTGGAGAGTTGCCGGTATTTTGGCTACATCACGCGCTTTGGGCGATTATCCTTTAAAAGACAAAAAATTGGTGGTAGCAGATCCTGACATACTAACCTTTGATCTCGACGACCATAATCCAATGTTTATTTTACTAGCTAGCGATGGCTTGTGGGATACCTTTTCTAATGAAGAAGCTGTAGCCTTTGTCAAGGAGAGAATTGACGAACCGCACTTTGGCGCCAAGAGTCTAGCACTTTCAAGTTACTCTGGGTACTGTTTCGCATCAAACGTATAAAACACGCAAATTATTGTTACAAACTTATAATTTTATCATCGTTTTCAGGGGATCATTGGATAATATAACGGTTGTCGTGATCAATATGAAAAATTCCAAGAGTTCAACACACGTGTGAAAAAACAAAAAATTAACTATTAGATTGTATTTATATGCACAGGGACAAATTGTTTTTATTCGTTATGTTGTCTAGTCGTATTTTGTTTTTTTTCCGTCTCTGTTATGCGTGTAAATGCATGAAACAAGAAAAATTTTGCTAACAAAAATAAAATATTATTTCTTCCAATTTTGTTTCCAATCATACAAAATAATCATTCGTCGCGTAAATTTTTAAAAAGAAGGGAAAAATCACTATTTTTTTTTTATTTACCAAGTATGTACAAGTATCAATTTTAGCAATGCAAATATGAAAAAAAAAAAAAAAAAAANAAAATAAAAGTCCAGGCAGTCTAGAACATCATAGCAGATATACACTAATCCGTAAAAACGCTCAAAATCTGAGATTCTGATTTCTGAAAATGGCCAAAATTTGAAACGGCCGTATCTCCGGAAATAATGTAGATAGAGCAAAATGAGCCTTAATTGAAGATCATCGAAATTGAAAAATTTTTTTTTTTTTTTTATTTGGTTGTTAAAACTACTTAAAAAGAATAAAATTGTAGAAGACGAAATACAAGGTAGTCTAGCTTAATTGAAGATCATCGAAATTGAAAAATTTTTTTTTTTTTTTTATTTGGTTGTTAAAACTACTTAAAATTATAAAATTGTAGAAGACAAAATACAAGGTAGTCTAGAACATCAAAGCGAATAGACTTAAACACGTAAAAACACTCCTAAACTAGGATTTTGGTTTTTAAAGATGGCCAGAACTTAAAACGGTTGTATCTCCGTAAATAATGAAGAAAAAAATTGGCCAAAACTTAAAACGGCCGTATCTCCGTAAATAATGGAGTTAGAGCGAAATAAGCCTCAATTTGGGATCATCAGAATTAAAAAAAATTTTTTTTTTTCTATTTTAGAAGGTTGTTAAAACTATTAGAAAAAAATAAAATTGTAAAAAATCAAAGTCCAGGCAGCCTAGAACATCATAGCAAATATACACTAACCCGTGATAACGCTTAAAATCTGTGGTTAAGGTTTTTTAAATTGGCCAAAACTCAAAACGGCCATATCTCCGTAAATAATGGAGTTAGAGCGAAATAAGTCTCAATTGGGGATCATCAGGATTAGAAAAATTTTTTTTTTTTCTCTAATAAGCTTGTTAAAACCATTTAAAAAAAAATAAAATTTTAAAAAATCAAAGTCCAGGCAGCCTAGAACATCATAGCAAATTTACACTAACCCGTGATAACGCTTAAAATCTGTTGTTTAGGTTTTTCAAATTGGCAAAAACTTAAAACGGCCGTATCTCCGTAAATAATGGAGTTAGAGCGAAATAAGCCTTAATTTGGGATCATCAGAATTAAAAAAATTTTTTTTTTTTTTATATTAGGCGTTTGCAACTACACGAAAAATATTATAAATGTATACGTTAAGTTTCTACGCAGTCTAGAACATCAAAGCAAACAAACAGTCAAATAAATTCTTACGAACGACTACAAGGCCATGCTATTGTCAAAAATCTGAAATTTTTAGCTAAAACAATACTCAAAACTTCCAACGCATGTATCTCCGTAAATAATGGAGATAAAGCGAAATTAGCAATAATTTGAAATCGTTAGAATTTTTTTTTTTTTTTTTTTTTTTTTTTTTTTTTTTAAATTCGTTAGGGCCTGCCTTGCTTTTGGAAAATCAATATATCCATTGAATTACCCTTCTAAACAGTCAATTAATTGATACGAACGACTACAAGGCCTTGGCATTATCCAAAATCTAAAATTTTTGGCTAAAACAGTACCCAAAACTCTAAACGCCAGTATCTCCGTAAATAATGGAGATAGAACTAAATAAGCGTTAATTTCAGATTATTGAAATTTATTCATAAAATTTCTTTTTTTTTGATACTAGACCCTTGCAATCACACAAAAAAAATCAAAAATCGTTTGGTTATGGTCTGTAGAAGAAGCTAGTATTTTTTTTCGTCAATCTGTCGACGACTGAGCGGCTGTTCGTGTAGTTCGCTTGTTACTGATAGTCGATATGGTAGAAGGCTTTTTCTGCCGACTGTTGATAGAGTAGACTCCGACAGCAAGCGCGTTGTGTAAGTTTGCCTCCTTGCCCGTCAACTTCCTGTTCCTCGGATTCCTCCAATATTGTGTTGGGAGATGGATATCATTGCCAGTATATATATTTTACTTACGCGCAGAGAGGGGGGAAAAATTAAAATTCTTTGAAAAAAAAAGTTGAAAATTTTAAATTCTTTTAAAATAAGAACTATCGATTTAATCCAACAAAAATATATATAGAAATATAGCAAATTACTTACTTTTTCATATAAGAAACTTAATTTTTATATTAACGAAAAAAGGTCGGTATATTCCTCAAAAAAACTTTCTCAAGTCGTCTGAGCCATACTTGAAAAAAACGGTGTCATAGGAACGATTGGAACGGACTGAACCCCACTTTGATAAAGAATCAATAACCCTCAGAACATGTGTTTATATTTATTTTGTTTTGTTTGAGTTTATTAGCAGACGACGCTCGTAGGGTAAACAAAAAACACCTCGGTCCAGTTAATGTAGTATATTTTTATATTTGTGCAAATTGGGGATGTCATTTTTGTAAAATGAATACTGTCTGGAGCAACAAATTTGAATTTGGTAATCATACTTTCACTCTGCAGTCTTCACTAATGTTATTTATGTGTGTTTGAATTCGATTCAGCTTGGTTAACCTATCAAATTCAGTTCAACTTGTTACTTTTGTAATTTCGATTTAATGTTATTCAAGTAGTTGTATGTCTTTTTCTCCTAGTACAATTTTTAAGTTGTGTCATTGTGTGTTTATCAAAAACGTCTTTTTTTCCAGAAATATTGTCATCAGCTATAGTGTTCAAGTAAGGATATAACCATGAGTTACCGTCAAAGTAACCATGCCAAAAAGTCTAAAGGATTTGGGTTTACTGGCTTTCAAACGCCCAGTAGTCGTAAGCGTGCTGGAGCTGCTATACCTCCTCTACCACCAAACTCGGGTTTCAGCAAGCAAGGTTATCTCACGATGAATTTTATCACTGAAACTGCCTTGTCAGCCAGCTGCTATGGAGCACCAAAGAAACGCAGTAAAACTGAAGAAGAGTTGATTATTTGTTTCAAAATTATATAAAAATTTCAAGTTGTTCATGCATTTTATTTTAACTTGATAAGTACTTTGATGATGATCAGATGATTCGTCAAAACTGGAATACATTCCAGTGACAAACTCACCTTTGTACCAAGAGCCTGTGAAAAGGAAACTTGAAAGCCATTTCGACAGTGACAGCGAATAAAGTCATTTTGGATGCATTCGTGGCAGGAATAAACGCTCAAGTTGAAAGTAATTAACATACAGATGAAAAAAAAAGGATGATAAAAATACAGAGGCATTAGAGGTAATACATATATACTTAGCAAATAATTAATTTCCGATGACGTAATAACGTTATAATTTTCAGTTCGTAGAAACGATATGCAAGTTTCTTGTGTGTAGGAAAGACTTTGTAACCCGATGGCTATTAAACTTCGTATGATTTTACGTCCTCTACTTGATAAATTTTGTTCTCATATTTACATATTACAGCATACATATCACCACCAAGTCGCTTTGCGAGCCATCGGTTTTTAACAACGGCAAGCTTTAAGCAATCGCACTTGAATTTAGCGTAAAGATTGGTATGTAGAGTCCGTCCCATACCTTCGACTACAATGAGATCAACGTTGTGTTTTACCATCTCTAAACACAAGTCTACATTTAAACGGCTGGAAATTGGTAACGATCGTTAAACCAAGTGTCATTGTTGATCTGTTAAAATAAATAGAAAACGTACTCTTACCTTAAATCCAAGCATGGGCCGGCTTGAGCTGTTTCCATAGCAAACAATCGTTTTTCCTTCAAAGCATACTCAATTACGTCACAAATGTTGGCTGCGTCTTTCAGAATCACCAGCAACTCTGGATAAGTAACGTCGTTGAGTGCAGGCATCGAGTTGGCACACAATATAACTTTTGTTCCTCGCTGCAACAGGTCTCTGACAAACGGCAGTATGCCGAGAATAATGTCAACCCCGGAATTGTCGACAAATATAGCAGCGCATCTGTGCGGTGCTTTCTCCTGTAACCTCGTTATCCAATCGTCCAGAGAATCGTGTAACCATGGCCTAGCTAATTATTTCGATTCGTTTTTTATTAATAAAACGAATTATCTCACAAATGATTAATCCGAAATTCTCACCTTGTACATTTTTTTGCGCATCCTCAAACGTGAAATTTGACGTTTCCATCAATGCAGCTACTTCTTGGGCTCCCCAATCGAAAATATTACCAGCCAATACCCCCCTTACAAGTTCTTCCAGCTTTGCTGTACCTTCCAAATTGTCTATATTTTCCAATCTGCTTTTCAAGTGCTTGAAAGCTTGCTCATTTTCTCGTTTTTTTTGCTATAAATAAAATTTTTTTATTTTTTATTTTTTTCCTTCAGTTCATGAGCACAAAATGCAAAAATTATTCATTCATGTGCTTTGAAATCGTACTTACGTGTAAATAGGGGTCGGGGAAATCAAATTCTTTCATGCAGTGTTCTATTGTATCCAAAAGTGTTCTGACCGTCAATGTTCCATAGGCACTAGAAAAATCAATGCCATTACTGGGTTAGGCAAAAAAAAAAATTTATTGTAAACTTACAATGGTTGCTCACGCAGATAATGCAAACGGCTTATGTATTTCTCTTTCAATTTGGTGGCTCTGTCTTTTGCAGTTGGACTTTGCGGTTGACTGTCGATGGCTCTCGTAATAAACTTATCCACAGATTTTTGAAAACATTCGAGCCAGTAATTCCTGCAAACCATGCAAAAATCTGAGCTCAGTAATTGTGTTTTCTTTTCCCCCATTTAAATCAAAATGATATCAATATATTTCGTTCATGTGTGCACCTAGCTTCTGTATCTTGTACCAAGTCTGTCGTGTCGGGATTGTAATTGACTGGATCTACGAGTAGGGGGCAAAAAGCCACTGCATTTTCGGATTGATCCATTTCCAGCTGATTGATTTGAATCCCAAGTTGTGAAGATTTCACGTCAATTTTGAATCCAGATGACCCAGCGTAATTTTCCAACCAACTGTGCTTGACAGATTCCGACTGCACTTCGTGTAGAAAGGCACCAATCGCACCTAAATAACCTTCGTGACGTAAAAACAGTGGCTTTACTTGACCCTTAAACACAAAGGCATTCAATTAAAAATGCAATTTTGCACGGACAGTCGCAAACAAACAATTTAACGAAATAACAAAAAAAAAAAAAAAACAATTTTTTTAAACCAACTCGGGTCCAATACTTGATGGCATACGATATGCTGTGCATTGACAAAGGATGATTACGCAAAAAGTATCCTCCAAAATATACTTTATTAATATTGTACAATGAGGCGTAAAGACTGGCTATTTGACCAATGTCGTTACTGATCAAAAACAGCAAGCTCCTTGCAATATCTGCTTCAGAAAAGTTTTTTTCTCCTATGGATCGTGATTAATGCATATACAATGACTCATTTGTTGTTTCATTTCAAATTATATTATACTAAATTTCGACGAACCAAATGTTGCTGCAGCTTTGCCAAACGATGAGGCAATCAGTTCACCCGATAGACCTTGCAACGAATAATCACTACCATAGATATCGCGAACCAACATGTCGATATTTTTGTGATTTCCTACTTCAGCCAGCTGAAGCAATTCATCAAAATTCTGAAAATAAATAATGATCACGTTGTTGTTGTCATTCAGATTATAAGAAAAAAAAAAAAATAATAATAAATAATTTAATAAAATAATGAACAGACCTTGACACGAGTGAGTAGTGAACCCAAGCCCCAAAATGTACCTCCGCCCGTCGCTGTACCGCCAACTCTTTCGAATTCTTGTTCCGATTCCACCTAGCGGAAAAGGGTATACCACTTGAACATACGTGATTAAAGCAATTTAATCAGATGAACGTAATTTACATACTTTTAAAATACTAACGCCACTACCAATGTTTACTAGCAAATATGGGAATATGTTTGGGCCAGCTTTCTGAAAGTTATATTCAGGATTTGAGCGTCTCTCAAATTCAAATGCTTCATTGGCAATATTTTTCAGTAAAAAGTTACAACCCTGTATGAGGCAACAGATTTCATCTTTCTTGTCGACCCTACGAAATACACATACCCCTGAATATCATCTGACAAGTATCAGGTTATTTTCATTGATCTTATGCAGCAGTGTAAAAGTAAAAAACAATAAAATAAAACGATGAAAAACACACTTACTGAACCCCTAACTTGCACTTTATCAACTCTGCATATTTGTGAGCCCCACCTCCAGTTACTTTGATATTCGTCCCAACTTTTACCAAGTTGGCTTTGACAAAATCTAAACAACTTTCTATGTGACGTGTTTCAAACTTGACAAAATGAAGCCTATTGCCTTCGAAAACTTGATAGACACGTTCGCTGCAGTCTTGAGTGAGCTTATTATCCCTTTTATCCTCGCTATCACCATCTTTATACAAAGCCTTGCGATATTTCACAATCGAGTAATAAGCGATTTTTGTCAAAGACAGTCCTGATAAACCGAAAAAAAAAATCTTTAACCATTGATGAAAAACCTTCAACTTTGTAGCGTGCAACAAAACTTACCGATGTCGATGGCAAATTTTTGAGCATTCTTGAGATTTGCAAAAATTTCTGTGGCAACAGGTAATTTTATACTTTGGGGATGTAAGGCATCGTCGCTTGCTTCTTCCATTCCTTTCAAATCACGTTTGACAATACTTAATGATGCTGATAATTTCATTAAAAACAATGTCAATGATAGTTTTTTTTTTTTTTTTAAATAAATCAAAACTAATTCTCAAACCTAATGGACTGGTTGATACGTGGAACAAACGAGTATAATTTAACAACAAATGATAATCATTAATCAAGTTCGTTGTATGTACCACAATCATTTGGCGCTTAAGGGTTATGTGAAACACTTTTTGAGAGAGATATGCCGTTCTTCATATGTATTTTTTTTTTTATACATTTCAAGGATATTTGATTGTTTTTACTAGACTACTTATCAAAGATAAGTTATCTTGATTACTGATAAAACTGTAAGTATTGCATACATGTTTTTTTTTTCTTTTCGCGAGCAAGATCATGCGTAGGTATATAATGCAATGTGTTATGTGTTTGCTCTCTCTCTGATATGATCACAGTTCCAGAGTTCCACTGATTCACCCCCTCTTCAATACGCATACTTATATAAGTATACAGTGTAAACACGTTTGTGTGTTTACATAGCTTTATATACCTAATAAGCCAACCACCGAAACCGAACCACCTAGTTCTTTACGTAGATAATACATAACACCAGTAATTATTAAAAATTTACTGAGAGTTTCAGATTTTGTTATACTTTATTTTCTAGTTTAATTTTCTACATGTTCGAGTCTCATTGTTTTTGCTTCCGTCGATGTGTAGCGTCTCAGCCCAGCCCGCCGACGACATGCCATCGTCGATCGTCGCAAGCCAAGCGCCGAAGGAGGACTTTGACTAGTCAGTCAAGCTCTTTCTCTCTCGCACGCGCTGGCGTACGGGAAGCGATGCCGCGCTTGATCACCGTGGAATACCGCGACCGTCCTGCTTGCTCTTAGGTGCTCTCTTACCACCACAGCTGAGGCGAGGGAAAAAGCCGGAAAAGGAGTCGAGAATTGTAGCATTAAAGTGATATTAAACATACTTGTGCGTACACACCCTTATTACTCGAATCCTCGCCCACGTGCTCGCGCGAAACTCTCAAATTATTGAGTCTCAACCCAAGACTCCCAAAGATGTATATAAGTTTGTCACAACTGATGTTTTGACCAATTAAACGTTATTTAAATTTGTCTGTTGATTTATTTATGTATCATTAATTAAAACTCGTTCATGGCAAACAAGCATCGACAAGCTTAGATGCATACAAGAATGTGAGTGATATTAGAACAATTTAATTCAAGATTCGTGCATGTCATATAAAATTGTTTTATGAAATTTTTGTCCAGAAAGAATTTAACGGTGGAATAACAAAGGATGCTTTCAAATATTTTTTCATAACATTGGTTTTTACAAGATGCATCAAACGTTAGTTGTGCAAATAAATAATAAATAAAACAGGGTTGTTTGACTACGTTAATGTAAATTTTTTTTTTGTACAATCGCTTTGACAGACGCGATTTTTCGCGATTTTCATGTTGATTGAATTTGTGTTGAATTTTTTGATTTTTATTAAAAATTATTAACTAATTTTTCTCTGACGTTCTCTTTCTCGTGCAAGCTCAGAAGCATAATCCAAGGGTGAATTTCGTCTGAAATGATTACGTTTGATAATGCGTCGCATTAGTAGAACATTTGTTATTCTAGAAAACCAAAAAGGCCTACCTATCGGGGTATCCTTCTCGATCCCGATGCTTATCCCTGTATGATCTATCACGACTATTTTTACGATCTCGAGATCGATGACTACTACTCTGTTCTCGACTCAGGGAGCGCTCATGATTCCGTTGGCTACGATCACGTTCACGATTGTGTCTGTCCTTGTCGCGATTTCTGTCTTTTCCACGGCTGTCGTGGTCTTTTAGTTTGTCTCTTCGATCATCGGTGGATCTGCAAAATGACGGAAAACAAGATATATATAATTTTTTTTTTTTTTTTCTTTCAATATCAAGAACCAAACTATGTGCATAAATGTAGGAATAAACATTTTTTTACAACTGTTAAAAGTGGTTATCGTCATACCACAGAGACGCACCTGGCACGCCACTGGCTTGCTCGTTCAGCCTCGCCCCATCTCACTTCACTATCCGAAATGTGTCTTGGCTGCTGTTGAATTTTCAAACAGTCGTCCTTTCGGTTATTGCAACTAGTATATTTTCCAAAATTGCTCAACGTTATTGAAGGCTTGGAACTTTTGGAGCTATTTAAATTGTTTGGAAATCGTTCAGCTAGACGTTGTTCTAATTCTTTCTGAATGGGCACGGGTATCCTGGGAAAAAGTGTCGAAAACCATTCCAGCTTTGTCAAAAATTGTTTTAAAATATCCCCAATTTTCATATTTTGACCACCACCTGCTTTAACATCTAATTCTTCCTCATCTTCTAAATAATCATCATACCAAGAAAACAAGTCAGCAGGGGGTTGAGTATACCTGATGAAACAAACAAGATTGATGCTTGAAAAGTTTTTCAAATGAATGGATAAAATAATGACAAATGCATGCCTACCTTATGTACATAAAACCAAGTGCTCGGATGTATGGCGAATCAGGATGATTGATCAATCCATTGAGCTGTTTTCTCGTTAATCGTAGCGTAAAGAGTTTATAGAGAAGACAGTAAGCCGTTGAAACTATACCTCCAGCACCAACACCCCTGACCTGCATAAAGCGGTATATTTAAACCCTAGGAAACAATAAATCTTATTCGCATCGCAGAAAGCTCTTGATTCAAGTGTATGCTTTTCTGCAATCGATCAAGACTATTGTCCATGGAAAAATGGCCAGCAGTCGTGCTACTTACCCCACCGCACATGCCAGTTTGTCCGGCTGTTTTGCGACTGCCCTTTTCCCATGGCTCCAAGTGTGAAACTTTGTAATAAATTTCATCAATGACCTCGTGATAAGTCTTCAACTCGTACAAGTTTATCTTAAAGTAGTGAGAGGATTGGATATTTGTTAAGATGAGGGGGTTGAGGTTCATGGTTCGCTCGTTGCCCCAGAGTGGCAGGGTGTTTGACTTTTTGCCTTCCTTTTGGATAGGCTTGCGATCATCTTCGCAGCCACTAGAATTGTTCCAGGGTGAACCTGCAATATATAGAGATGGAGAATCTCATGTTATCGACTGGTCTTTGTATTAATAATCGTCAAGATTCGGTTGTTGTCAATAAACATGCATTGTATCTGTCATTCATCAGAGGACGCGCGTAACTATGTATGCTTGTTTGGTTATGTTTTCATGTTTGGCATTTAATGGGACAAAAAGTTATAGCAGAGTACAGCCATGAGGTCTTAGTTGTAAAGTTGTGTCGTGTAAACTAATTTTTCAAATAGGTACATACTTACACCTACACTGACTTGATAAAAAAAAATACGAGTGAATACGTTATCGCACAACTTACCATCAACACATTCCATCCTAAATTGCAGCCAAGGAAGCCAGCTGCTGTACTAACCGTGAGAGATATACTCGTATATGGGTAGGTATATACCTACAAAGTAACTGGACAATCGCACGAGATCGACAGATTAATTGCAATAGGTATACTTAGTACTTATAACCAAAACTCGGTCTTCTCATTAATGATTCTCTCCTTACGGAGACTATACAATATTGACTGCAGCTCTCCCTCTCTCTCTCTCTCTCTCTCTGAGGGGGGAGGGGAGGTAAGAGTTTTGATCTTGCAGACTACGATGAGAGGAATCACGACATCATATATAGGTATACGCATCAGACGCTGCAATTTGACAGATAGTCTCGCAATGGTCGCTCTGTTCACGTCATTGCACATTGTGTACCTTTATACTTTATAGATATATTATTTATATATTTATACATATGTATGTATATATATATATATTTATTTTATTCATCATCGCCCGTACGCTCAGTCATGGCATTCTTTTACACAAGCATAGTGTTAATTAGCCATCGGTGCACCTGAGTTATGACCAGATGTTTGTATGTATATATATAAACATCTGGACCAACTCAGTCACACCTATGATCACGTATACCAAGCGTCAGAGAAACAGTTAATCGACCTTCAAGAATCAAGAGCACAGGCAAAAGGGCGAGACTTGAATGGTGACCAGAGGATCACCCATCCAAGTACTAACCGCGTCAAAATGCATATTAACCTCGGAGATCGACGGAACTGCAACTCTACCGTTGCGCCATGCACCGCGACCATTACAATATACCCACACACACACACACATATATATATATATATGTCAGATTATCAGATATGATGGTATTATTGGCATGTGGAATATTCTTGTATACTGCTATAGGAGTGCTGAACTGCTGAGCGGTGGTATAATGGTTGGTGTGTGAGTGAGTCATCTTCGTCGTCTGAGTCGTCTCTGAGAGGAGTCCTCTCTCATGCTCCATACGTCCAAAAACTACGAATTATCACAATTTTCCTATTAATATTTTCTTAAATGAGATAAGTATGCATGTGTATAAACATACTCGCTTGAAAAACACAAACAAACCTGTATACCGATTGAATTGAAAACAAAACTGCTATTTTGACTCATTAATATTACAACAATGGAAGTAATAATTCTTGAATTATAGTATTCGGCATAGTTAATATTTTATTTGATGAAAAGTTTTCATAATATACTTGTAATATTTTTTTTTTTATTTGTTTCGTTTTGTAACAAATATTACTCCAAGTACTATTTTTAAGTCTGTTTTACTCGTACACAGTGTATTTCACTGTTTGTTTACTATTAAAAATTTGTAATTAATAATTGAAATTAATAACACGTATACTTTTAATAATATTTTCAATACACGTAACAAGCTGCTTTCATGTCTTTTAACATTTCAAACTAACTATATTTTCATGAAATTATTGCTTTTGTCCCAGTACATCTCTTTGTACACTGATTATTTCAAAGTCGCAACAACGTATTTTAATTACTTGAGGCTGGGACTGTTCGCAAAAAAAAAAAAAAAAAAAAAATGCACCTGCAGTATAGGTGTTTCAATACATAAATATAAAAATGCGTAGATGTCTTGACTGCATGCAACAATTGCAGAAATGCATCACTCGAATTTATATCAAATAAAAGTTACCTCAATGCTCGGACACCGTTTCACATTTCAGTAATTCGCGAAACGGCGTCTATAATATTTTTCCAAATCTCAATATTTGTACGTGAACATGTGAAAATTTTTTGGGGGAGTACAGTTGATCCTTAATTGCGAACCAAAAAATTACAGTAAAATACATGTGTATTGATCATTTTTTATAGTTGAAACGTAAAACACTTTCTACTCATGATGTGTACGGAAAATTTCATCAAGTTTTATTGCGCTTCGTTTTGTATTGATTTTGTGTAAATTAATCACACAGTAGCACTGCAACAAAACTTTATACATTTATCTCTTAATCACATACAAACGTGTGCATCATACGTACGTATTTAGAAACATTAAACACGTCACCATCGTACGTTGGGAAGTTACTTAAACTTAAAGTTAATGTATAAAATAGATAAAAACGATTGTTATTTAAAAATCTGATTGTTACGCTTACAAATTTTAAAAGGATTCGTTGTGCATGAATCCTCTAAAAATGGTATAAAAAAAAAAAAAAAAGTGTACATTGTTAAGCACTCGTCTATCATTTTTGTGACATGATAAAAATTTGGACAAATATTAACTATTTAAAGATACATACAAGTAAGCTCAAGCTTTCTTACATCTTTTTGAAATAAAAATTTTTCGTGTTGTGGACTTAAAGAATACAGCACCGTGGTTTTCTGCGACTTGGATTATTCGTCTTGTTGCGCCTTTTTTTTTCTTTATCTTTTCGAATTTCTCTCACCTAATATAATTGAAAAAAAAAAAAAAAAAAATCAAGAAAATGCATTCTGAGAAGGTTTTAAAACAAGTCAACATGATGGTAACTTACTAAAGTGTAGAATGCGTCGTCAACTCCCATTCTGGTCTTGGCTGATGTCTCGACAAATGGTATGCCATACTGTCGTGCAACTTCTCTGGCTTGTGTCATATTGACAGCCCAAGATTGCTGAAGATCGCACTTGTTACCGACCAAAACCATTGGCACTTCCTCAGCATCTTTGACCCTTTTAATTTGTTCGCGATACGTACCAATGTCCTTAAAAAAGTTATTTTTTGATTTTTCAAACATATTTAACAATTGAAGATTTCCACTACTGTTGAACTTACTTCAAAACTTTTTGCTGAATTAACAGCAAATACTAATAAAAATCCTTCGCCCGTTCGCATGTATTGGTCTCTCATAGCACTATACTCTTCTTGTCCAGCAGTGTCTAAAATATCCAGTAAGCAGGTTTCACCATCAATTACGACCTGCAATATAAAAAAGACATTTTATTTGATTGAATACAAGATGGCAGAAAAACAGTAATAAAATGTTGTGTATGTAACTATTTACCTGCTTTCTGTAAGAGTCTTCAATCGTAGGATCATATTCGTCTACAAAGTGGTTTTGAATCAACTGTATTGTAAGTGCTGACTTTCCAACACCCCCAGCACCAACGACGACCAGTTTATACTCAGTCATAGTGTTGAATCAAAGTCTTTTGAAAAACGTCAACATGCAGATTTATCAACAGTTTATATTGACCTGAAAGTTCAGAATGAATAGGTAGGTTGGTTGATTGTATTTAATGGCAGGAGGTACGCATGGACACTGCTACGCCACTTCAGAATGAATATAAAAATATGATTTTAACAATTTGTCAGGTCTGCAGTACATGCAACCAGAAGAGAATGAAAGACCAAGTTTATAGGGAATTAAAAACAATCAAGTAAAGATTTATTTAAAGGGAGAAAGACGAGTGTATTTATTCTACCAAGCCCCATCTGATCAAGTAAAAAATCACAGCATTCTTATGGGACAAGTTAGATTATACGAGTATTTGAATATACATATATCAGAGCGGCATTCTCCAACAAATCGTATCCTATATTTTTCAAGATATTAAAGATTGTTTTTTTTTTTTTTTTTTTTTTTTCAACATTAATTAATAACAGAAAAGGTAAGCATTCGAGATTGTAATCATTTAAAACACACTTGTGCCTGTATGCCATGGTATTACACAAAAAAGAAATAAGTATCTCTGCCTCTGCAGTTGACACTGAGCAACTGCGAGCTAGAGATAAGATTTGTAACGAAATACTTGGGTACTTGAGATACACACCGCAAAATGATTGAATAAATAGATAGATGCTGGTGGAGAGAAATGAAGTTTGTTAAACGCGGTATGTTTTAACAATTGTGGGGATTAGACTTGTAAATACATAATTAAAGATTGACGCAGAAGAGAGAGGAGCTAAATTGAAAATATATATTCGGGAAAAGTGCTTGCTGCATGCCTGAATTAAAACGGAGCTAGACGCGGAGGACCAAAGGCATAAGTAGCTCTTATAAGAAAGGAAGAGACACCATGATATTTAATATTGTTTTACGTACCCACAACAACAGGGCATAGTAGGCACGGTTTTTTTTTTATTGTATCGGCTTTGCACGTCGTTTACCAAGTATATCTTTTAAAATCCCGATCAACGATGCCACTGCACCTGCAGCATCAGAATTGGGAGAGTCAGTAATGCAACTACGCTGTATAGCTAACAATGCTGTGTGTGGAACAGACTAAGTACCGCGCACAGACCAGAACAGTGTATATACTTATAAGTGGCACTGCCACAATAATAACCAGCAGCAAGGGCCCAGGGCCAGGGCAAAAATGTTGATATTGAGCTAATCGAGTCTTCTGATTGGTCGAAGATTGTCAATTTAAATATCTCAATGCCTTCAAGAGAGTACCCTGCAGTCCCTGCACTTGTCCCCCACATTAAATGAAGTGTGGCAAAGTTTGGTATTAGTGTGGGCTACAGCCTTCTCGACCAATCGAAAGACTCCGTTAGTCTTACGAAGCAACGATGTGTCTGTAAGGAATCAATGAATCATGTCTCCCCACCTATTACTTATGTGTGTATAGTACATTTATTGTACATGCGCGCATTAGACTCAGGCGGTGAATAAGTATATATAATACAAAATTAACTTTCTAAATGATGGCAACGACGGTTGCAACGCATAACTGTAGTTATTGACTAAAACTCTCTGTTTTTGTTCTCCACTCCCTATAAAGGTCCATTTACATATCATACGCCGGAGACGAAAATTTAATTACCTATTGTTCATTTGAGCAATTTGATTTGAAGTTATTTCAATGTTCAAAGTTCAATTTCTAAAACCTTTTTTTTTTTTTTTTTTTTTTTTGTTGCCACTCATGATTAGCCTCTCCATAACAGTGGACCTTTATCATATAAAAACTGAAAAATGTTAAAATTATCACCGTCCATATCCTTTAATGAACATTCTCAGACGGTAGGATCTCTCCAGTCTGAATCCCAATACAATTGCTAATATTGAAAGAACGGTCTTTGTTCATTGAGGTACTTTTGATTTTCATAGGAATAATTATTGCTATCACCAAGGCAATCAATATTATGGTGCTTTGTGTAAAAAAATCTTTCACCAGAGTGTGACAAAAATATTATTTATTGTAAACATTTATCCTAAACAAGACGTATGTACAAATGGGTGTTGATTTATTGTTGGGAAATACCGCCTTTATAGCTCAACTGTATAAATACATATTGAACTTTATCAGCTTGCCAAGGGTGACACGGCAAATTCCTTCTTTTTTTTTTATTTTACAATTGATTACGTACGCTTTCGTAATTGTATAAAAATGTTAAAATTACAGCTAAATCACTCATTTGTAAAATAAATCAGACAAACTCTTAATGTAATTCAACAGTCTTCAGAATAGTCCTTTATATAGTACGTTATTCTTGTGTTTTTTGTCAAGTTGTTGGAGTCTACAAAAAATGAATTAACGAGGATTTAGTTTTAAAAATAAAATTCAAACAAGTTTTTTTAAAAACTTACCACTTGATTTACTGTAAATACGGGAATTTTTTGATCGCATGATACGTGAATGAAACCTTTGTGTGAAGTTTGAGGCGAATTTTGATTGGGAGACAATGTGTCTTGAACATCATCTTTTCTTTTGCTGCATACAGATTTATGTCTATTTAAGTACATTTGAGTGCTAAATACTTTGTCGCAACTCATGCACTTGACTTTTTTACTATTTGTGTGATTTTGAACGTGTACACTGCCTAGTGTATTCGACGAGCAGGACTTGTTTGAACGTTTACGGGTCTTTTTTTCAGTCTGTGCACAGCAGTATCGCAAATGATATGATATCGTATAATAAGTACTAAATTTTCCGTCGCACTTTAGACACATGTATAATAATTTTGCCTTGCACTTTTTGCAAATTTGGTTCTCCCATCCGACTTCAAAATTTTCGGAACTTTGAATTGCATCACATTTTTGGCAAAACCACTGTATCCATTCGGATGATTCTGCAAAAAAATCATCATCATCATTATTATTATTATTATTATTATTATTATTATTATTGTTATTATTATTATTATTATTGATATTATAGGCTTATTATCAGTGAAACGATCAAGAAAGAGTTAAAAAATATTTACGAAAATAACAGAAAAATTCAACACTAACTCAATGTTCTTCTTCTTTTTTGACAGCTCAGATCATCAATGTTGGTTACATCAAAGTTGTTGTCACGGTAGTTGTCAATATCATTCTCAATAACTTTGGCGACGTCACCACATTCATCAGTTTTATCTATTACCACAAAATATTATACCATCACAATTAAAAAAAAAAAAAACTAATAATAATAATAAATAATCTCTTGTGATTTTCTGAATGAAAATTGTCTCTTTACCAACCTGTAACCGATAATTGAGTGGGAAATTCTTCTGTTTTTACAAGCTCTACGTCGGATTCAGCATAGCTACAATCCTCTTGATAAATAATGCTTTCTGAAACGAGCGACTGTAACTTTGTCGTGGAACTTTGATTTATTGAATATGACTTTTGTTCTGATTCTGTAACTTTATTTGATTTACTCAAAAGTTCGGTCGAAGGAGGTAAAAATGGTGGTTCACAGTTTGATAAAACAGAGTTCGGAAAACGAAGCAGTGGTGGCGGAGATGGTAGAGGTACAGAGTCAGGGCACGTAAAAGGTAGACGAGTTAGACGGACATAGGGTATTTTATCTTGGCAGGCTGAATAGCCTTCATCCTTGCAGTATTCGGCACAAGTTGGGGTCGACTGATAGATGAGCAAATTGGTGAAACACTTGCTACATCTGTCGAGCTTATCTCCATCATTCACATGCTTATCATTATCATTATTATCACTATTGCACCAATTGCATTTTGGACAACGAGATAGTCGGATAAATCCCCAACCTAAAAATTGTTAAGATGTAAAATTTTTTTTCTGTAACAAAAATAATATTTTTATTTTTCACCCATGAGCGTTTAAACTTACCAGAATTATCCTCTGTCTTTATTTTAGTTTTCAAATCGGTTTGACTAGAGTTAACATTGCCAAGTATCATTTCATTAGAATTTCCCAAGATATGGTTTCCCAAATGTTGTTTGAAAATGCTTTGATCTTTAGTAGTATAAGGACACATTGCACACTCATAATCTTGACTCTCTACCTTACATTTTATTTCGTGATTTCGCAGCATTATAAACCTTTTATATTTTTTTCCACATTTGAAGCACCCTCTAAGAAACTTGGCTCTGCGTCTTCTTACAACCCATCGTCGATCTAAGTAAAAATTTCATTTGTACACGCATATTAAAATACATATTTCATTATGTTTGAAAGATTATAAAAAATCAATCAATTAATTGGTCATGAAATGATTAATTTACTTGAAAGTTTTTTATGATGAATACTGTTTGATGGAAAATTTTGCTCGCATTCCTCATTACCATTAGTTATATCATGCACTGGGCTTTCCATGATGAGATTTTCATTGTCAGTAAAAGACCTTTGAACATTGTAATCGATTTCACACTCTTCACCCTCTATATAATATACGACAAAGTTTCAATAAATGACAAATTTTTTTTTAACATCACAATTAAAAAACATAAAAATAATCACGTCACCTAATGAGTCGACTGTTTCATTTTTTATGATTGGTTCTAATTCCATAGGATCAGAATCAGCGTTATCTAAGAATGAAAAAAACGAGTCATTTTTACTTACAATTTTTTTTTCGCATATATGCAAATATTAACGTCAATGCTTTCTATTAATTTTGAGAGACATCACAAGACTTATAGTATAAAATACTTGATAATAATTACCATTTATGATACACACTGGACCAGAAGAAGTATCAAGTTCTTTTTCTTCCAGAAAGGTTACTGAATCTACAGTTGGAAAAAAAAAAAAAAAAAAANGAATAATTTTGTTTGACTCATAACAATTTGACTTTTTTTCTTTTTAATTAATAATAATTTACTTATCTATTGACCAAAGCACTTTTACCTTGTATTTTTCGGTTTTTTTCATAAAAGATAATTTAAAATATGACACAGAAATATATACACAGATATTTAGGTACCCACTTCATCAGCGTACGATACAATCCACATAAATCGTAAATTTCCAACAAACATTCGATGCTCATTTACATTTGCAACTATGCAATTATCATATTTGATTGTAAATAGTCGATGAAAATTACAAAAATTAGTTTGAATAAATCGGACGTGGGCAGTATCCTATAGGTATTTTATTCTAATTGAATTTAAAATTTTAGTTTCCACGGATACAAAAGATTTCTGGAATAAAAATGTAGCACATTTTTTCATGAATTTTTTGTTCATAATAATAATAATTGCAACACAATGTGATACAACAGTAAATATCTGTACATTGCCATCAATCGATCAATCATCAGCTGTCGATCCAGTCCGTGTAGGAGTGGTAGAAAATGGGGCTAGATGATCATCATGGTTACAAACGTAGCAAAATATACTTGCAGGGTAAGTACCAACTTGGTCACGTAGAACAAAAAAGGAGACGCCCATAAAGTACCTAGTTTGCTTTATATTTGCTCCGTGGCCGCGCACCTCTCGTACATGGCGTCAAGAACCTGGACGAATTTGGCGTGTCTCTCGGCTGCATTGACGAGAGTGGCCCGGCTGCCCCAGAGGAACCTCATGTGAAACTCGGTTCGCAAGGCGTCGTGAAGTAGCTCGTCTTTTCGCATATCCTCGAGGGCGATCTCGGCATTACGCCGAAACAATGCCAGGCTCTCGGTCATTTTGCGCGAGCCCTCCAGATGGGCTGATTCAAATGGGTGACGTTGAATAGTATACAGTAGGTACAACATAAATAATAAGCAGAGTAAGTACACACCCCACATAATGGAGAGACCACCGTCGGCCGCGGAGTTCTCCCAAGGCAGGAGCACGGCCGCCGCTAGAGCCGAGGGTGGTGCGTTGTCTGCACGATGACGACGACGACGATGACGGTTATTGTAATAATGTCGTAACAATTAATGAATTATTATTATTATTATTTACAATGATTTAAAAAAAAAAAAAAAAAAAAATTAGAATTCAATTTTATGCTTTTTTCACTCAAAACAAAGATAAATGTGTAATTTTGAATTAACTTGAAAAATATTAACTTACTTGAGCTATTAGGTCGAGTATTTTCTTCTTTTATGACAGTCACTTGAATATTTTCATCAACATTGGCATTTTTTGTAGAACTGGACTCATCATCCAAATTAATCATAGGAGTTACTTCTATTATTTCTTTCATCTCGTTTGGTGGATAAGAACTGGTACACACATGATTCCTAACGTTGTCGATGCTTCTTTTTTTTTTCCTTTTAATTTTTAATTTGCCAATTTTTCTTGGATTATTTTTTAGAGCATTAAACCTTTTTTTCCTTTTTTTAATTAATTTTATTCTCTTTAAAGCAGATGCAAAATTGCTGTATTCCAAATCTTGTTCAATTGTTGGATGTTGATTTTCAACATTTGACGTTTGCGGTTCCATTTTTATCGGTAAAATATTAACTTCCTGGTTTGGTTTTTCATCCGTATTAGTGCATAGCGATTTACCATCATTGGTTTCAAAACTCATAACATCGGTTGCTTGGTTTTTTTCAACATCACCTGAAAAAAATTTTTTTCATTTATTTTATCACTCATGTTGATGTTATTTTTTTTATTTTTTTTTTGTTGGTTAACCTTGACTGATAACGGTTGAGTCTTCAACGTTGATTTCTTCCTTAATCTGAGTTGGTTGTTGATTTTCTAATTGTTTAGCTGTAAAACATAAAAATTGAATGATCTGAAGTAACAAAGCTTTGATAAATAATAAAAAAAATTTTCAATCTTTTCGATTTTTTTTCTCGACTACACTTGCAAAATAATATTATAATTTATGAAAATACACATTTAATTAACTATTGAATGTATTATACTGTGATTGTTTACTCACCATTTCTAGGCAGTATGGTAATATCGTTTATTTCTGAGTCTTCAATATCTAGAATAAGAAATCAAATTATTATTTTTTTGTCATAGGGTATCAGAATCGTCAAGTCAAACACAATAGTTTTGTTAACCTGATCCATCAGACCATACTGGTATAATAATTTGTTTTTCAATGAAAGGTGCCACTTGCTTTCTAATATTTTCATTTTCTAAAACATTTAAGAAACTTTGTTGCAAACAACTTTTTGAGATATAAAATTAAGACTTTTAATGTTGTAAATGGTTAAAACTATATTTAGTAAGACTTATTTTTCATTTATTTACTCACGCAGTAGTGTCTTTATATTGACATTGAATCCACATACATCTAAAACAATAACTATTTGAGTAACAACACAATCATTTTAAAGTAATACAAAATTGAGAGATAATTACTTGAATATGAATTTTTAGGGTCATTTTGATTGTTTTGCTGTTCATCATCCAAAGGCTTTGATACTTTATTTAGGCTAAATGTTTGCTTTTCTAGGAACAATTTTTCATAAATATGCTTGTTCTGATCTAAAAATTAAAAAAGATATTTTCCATAAAAAATGAACACCTCAAATTTGCTGGAATAGTTGAAGTTTTACCATTAGACCATTGAGGGAGGACAACTTCTTCTTGAATGAAACACGACACTTTTTTTCTGATGTTTTCGTTCTCTGTTAAAAAAAAAACAACAACAACAACAACAACATGTTAATTAACCAAAAATTTCATGAGTATTCAATCATACTGGCATTTCTTCTTGTATTTACCTAATAACGTCTTGATAGATCCACTTGGTTTAGCCATAATCTAATCTGTAGTTTTGTTATTACGCAGGCTTATACACTGTGTGGAACACTGCAGATGACGAAATGGAAGAAAAAAAATGAGTAAACTACTGTAAAATTAATGTGGTAATGGTAAATAAACTTTGCTAACAATTGCCTCAGACACGTTATTACAAGATAACTGTGTGAAATTATAATTTTGTACAGCTGAAAGATTAGGTAGAAATTATTGCTAAAAAAGACATGAAAAGATGATTATAAACAGTTGAATGAGAACGAAAGAGGTTTTATCAATAGATATTCTCATGGATAAAGATGCCATGTTTAGTTGCTGACAATTATTCAAGGATGAAAAATGATATAGCATAAAAGCAAAGAAAAATGACACAGGAGACAGATAACCTACAAGAAGCTCCAATGTTAATAAGAATGTTGTTGACTGAACTATAATATAAAATATTTTTCTAGGCAATGAAACAGAATTTGGCTCAAAGACAAAAACAAAATGGGTAACACTGCACGATCAACTAGGATGATAAAAAATTTCGACAAGTAAAAGAAACGTCAAACTCACACTTTCAATTTCAATTTCAGCCGTTCATAAGCCCACAAAACTGTAGTAGGTAGAAAAGCAACATTATTGAGTACTCAAAAGTAGGAAGATTACTTACAATCTTGTTAACGTGGAAATAAAGTTAATCGTGTCTCGAAAAAAACTATAGGAATGAAATGGTACTTTGTAGATATTATGCAGGTTTTATTGTTAAACTACCTCGTCGTGCACACGAGTGCCCTTTACCTATAGTGTATGTATATATGTGTGTGTACACCTACCACTGTAGTAGTAACAGCTAGCCAGAGCCTAGCGGCCTAGTATAGAGTAGCTTACTAGTAACACATAAATTATATGTATTACCAAATTTCTAATCGTAACCGGCATTCGAACGAACAAACACATCATGATCGAGTCAAGGTGTAGTACTAGTACATACTACGAGTACATGGGGGGGGGGGGCAGAGGTGGTGTACAGAAACGGAGCAACGCGCGAATCGGCGCGATACGTGCATGTGATTATGTGAAGAGAGAAAGGCTGAAGTGAACCGGGGGCCGGGCGGCTGGATTTGATATACTTAATAAAAAAAACGGACTAATGGATCCCCTACGTAAAATCCACGAAGAAATATCAGAAATTCTGAAAGCTGTGTGATTCTGATATTGATAATCATCGAGAAATTAAACGAAAAAATTATTTTTAAACCGAAAAAAATGAAAACATAATATGNCTGGCACCGACAACTCCATTAATTTCTCGATAACTAATACATATAACCAATATTGCGTACCTGCCCATCCGTCTCTCTCTCTCTCTCTCTCTCTCTCTGTTTTGTTTGTAACAAGAATAATACAATTATGATTATAATTAATAGAAAAAAAAATAATAATAACAATAATTTCTTTATGTTGTGATATTCGATATGAAATAATTTCTTTTTATTTTTTTATTGTGAACACAACAAAAGTGGCAATGTTGTAAAAGTACAAAAAGAATTCCATTGTTCTGAGAAACATGGAGTAGCGCTTTTTTTAGCGCCATGAGCTATAGACTTGATGCATCATGGAGCCATGCAACCTGCAACCTAATAATTCTATCTGTGAGGCTCAAAGTACTTGGCTCGGCCGCAATCATCGCCCGAGAGCCGGCTGAATCATTAAATAGCACAAGTTGCATCGGTAGAAGCAAAAAAAATCATCAAGGTTTTGGGTCGGACTTAAAATTACTCAAGATTGGGAAAGAAAAGGTAGGAAGACAAAAAACTGCTCGTTACAATACATGACCAACGTTTTACAAAAATCGAAGCACCGGTTCAAAACATACACTCTTTGGAAAATCACCAAAATACTCTGTGTAACTCGTGCTTCCCTCGTAATTTTAACCGACTTGGACATTCATGTAGGTACTTATTTCCGCGTATTTCTCTCCGTAACTCCAACACTCCGACTCATTTTCTCGTTCATCCACCTATACTTTTAATATTTTTACGAAAATAGCTCCTCTGATGAGAGTCTTTGTAAATTAAAAACATGAAATTTGTTTTTGTAGTCCACCTTGCATACATAAATGAGGATTTTCATTTAACTTGTTGGAAATAAATATAAATCCAGTGTGACACATTCTTTTGAGCTTTTTCATATTTTTCAATGATATGCGTATGCGTAGACGATTTGTCAATATCTCGGGAAAACATTTAAATATCTTTATACCAAAAATTTGTTGGTACGACAAGAAGAAAAACCATCACTTGTAAAAAAAACAGCGTCAATCACTCGTACATATATAATACATTTGAAAATCCTGAGGCAACAGGTACGCTTGACTACTATAGGTATACCATAAGCGCGATAAGCCTAGGATAGATAATTATGAGTCTCGCTTTTTAAGATGCTACAGTTATGAGACCCCGAGTGCAAGAGCAATAAAGTTGAAAGGTGGCTCTACGATGAGGCAGTAACTCCAGCTGGCGGCGGCTGCTTCGGCCAAAAAAAAGTTTGACCTAATTTTCAAGCTCGTAATGTTTCTTGCTTACAAAAACGAAGAGACTCGCTCTAAATTATCTTCAAAGTTATATGCATCAAGTCAGTCACTTGGGTATCTGTTTGTACTTAAAAATCTTGAATCATTTAGTTTTCTTCGTTATTATTATAGCTTAATAAGCTTAAACTCAAAGATTTTTTTTTTTCCTCGTAGCAACACCATGAGTTAATATTTATTACGAAAATAATGTGACAGAGAAAAAAAATTGACAAGTACTTCTTCGAGGACGCGCTCGTAAGAGGGTGGAGGTGAAGAGGCTGGCATCGTCGAGTCCGTGTCCACACTGACGACGCTGCCCGCGTCAGCCCCGGTTATCGTGAGCATCCGGGCGCACTCGCCGCTCCCGACGCTCTCGGAGCTTCCGAGGGCCAATTGGCTCATCTCGGACAAGGGCTCCTGATTTTGAGCCACGTCATCCTGGGCCTCGGACAATTCCTGACTCTCGGAGCTCCGCGACTTTGAGCCCTTGAAGAACCGAAGCTTGAACGGTGCCAGCTTGGATGTCTTTTAGCCCTGCGTTATATATGTATATATATCCAACTGCGACACAAAAGACCATCTATTTTTTTTTCCCTCATAGCTATTGAAACATACACACATTGATAAATCATGCTCCACATTGAAACCGTTTATTTGTATTTCAAAACAGTTTTTGAATGATCTTTACAAACTAAAATTGTTTCTACCTCATGTGTACTTTGCGTGTTACAGCTCGAGGCTACTTTCCATCCCTTATGTTTTTATAAATACAACAGGGAGGTATAATATGTACATGTATACCTCGTTAAAATTATCCAAAAAGCTCGAAATACCTACTTATTATATTTTCATTGTTTTAGTACAGTTGTATTGGGATTCCAAAAGGTCATGTGGCTCTCGTGGTATATATGTTACCTTTGAAAGTGCGAAAACGAAAGTTTTAAGCTGCGAAAGACTAATTGAGTTGGAAAAAAATAGTTAAGGTATTGTCATCTCCTCAAAAATATGTTATCGAAAGGCTTTTATCGTATTACAATCGTTGAACGTGTAAAAAAAATAAAAATATAATTGCACCTACAAGACCTGTGTTATTTTTCCCCCAAGTGACTATATATACCGCGAGAGTCACATGATCTTTTGGAATCCCAATAGTTTCGGTCACAAAAATACACAATATTGCGGTCAAGTAATAGTTTGCGTCTGAAAGTTTCTGCTTTTAACTGCCATTGAAAAACTTTTAACGCCGAAAGCGACTATAAAGCCAATGTTATTATTCTTCTCCTGCACTTTAAATACCAATTAAGGGATCAGCATTTTTCATGGCTTTGAACGAAAGAGGGAAAAAAAGGCCAGCTCCCTTTTTTTTTTCTCCGCTTCCTCAATTCATTCCAACTTCGGAACGTATTTAATAACTTGAGCTTTGCTCGATCGGAAAAACTTGCCCCTCGCAAACTCTCCCTCCCCTCTAGAGCTCCTAACAAGAGGGAGAGTCGCGAATGCACGTAGTAATATGTATGTATACAGAGTACGTTGTCATCCTCGTCGTCGCCGTGGAAACAGTGTGGGCTCCCCCACCCCCCAGCCAAAAAAAAATCCCCTCAACCCTTCGATACATGGGTATGGGTTATATATGGGCGACGACCCAGTGACCGAGTTTGTCCGCCGGCGGATATGCTGCCTGTTCAGGCACTGGTATGCGCCAACATTTCTCTGTCCGTCAAAATAAATTGTCTGCTCGGCGAGGGTGTGAGAGGCGTGGAAAAAAATGCAAATGTTGCCCATCCCGCTGGCACCGACAACTCCATTAATTTCTCGATAACTAATACATATAACCAATATTGCGTACCTGCCCATCCGTCTCTCTCTCTCTCTCTCTCTCTCACGTAGTCCTTTGCTCCCTTGGCAGCCACTGAGACAATGTGTATATGTGTATCTATACATATACATAACTAGCCGGTATCTATTGCGATGATATGATTTGGCAAGGACAAAAGTACTCGTTGCTCGGAAAAATTATTCAAAACCGGTTATGTCTGACTACACGTTTACCTTAATCACTTGTTTATATTCACTATTGGGACTTGAAAATGTTACTTTTAATATATTTATAACATAATTGTTTATCTTTGACAAAAATTGATATCGAATCGTTGAGTTTTTCAAAAATCTTTACCTCTAACGATAAATTTATGTTGCACATTATTTACTACCTTTTTTTTTTTCTTTTTTTTTTTTTTCCTTATGAAAAGTCGAAGGCTATTATGTAGACTGCTTTGGATTTTTTATTAAAACCTAAACGATTATTGAGTTTCTACACTTCCAAAGCAGCTTGCTATTTTCGAGCTCATCACTTGTTGTCAGCGACATTAATAATCTTTGTAACCGTTTTTCATAGCTCGAGCATAAATGTGTGACACACAAAAGCTGGAAAAAAGCTAGTTTCGCCCTGAAATTGAAACATGATTGCCTACTCAATTTTTCTCGTGTGTTTTACGCGCGTCTCGTCAAAAAGGGTACATTGAAAACTCCCGCTAAATCCTATCACGGTTTTCTCGACTAAGTCGGAAATTACATTTTTTCCGAGCTACCTGGATGCTTCTCTTGATAATATAACAACGTAATGAGGCCACAGAGTCAGAAAAACTCGAAAATAAAATTTTCCAAAGTAGGTCATGGCAAAAAAAAAAAAAAAAAAAAAAAAAAAGTATCCACACAACTTTGCACCCGATCGTACTATAATATCGAGAGTTGTGTGCGTGAGGCTGAATTTCCAGCTCGGTTTTTCAAAATAATTTCTGATTCGCCTTTTTGAGCTTATACGTGGCGCATAAAGGATAAAAAGTGTAAGTTGCCCATCCATCACAATGTACGAGCTTTCAATCGAATAGCGAAAAAAAAAAAAAAAAACTGCGCTCCTTTGAAAAATTCCGCTTGCGAAGAGGAAAAGTGCAGAAGGACGAGGAGACGAAGGGGCTCGCGTTAAGAAAACTGGTTGCCTCGATTTCTCATAACTCCATCGTTTTCACCACCACCGAGCTGAAAGAGGGTCATTATATATTATATCTTAGGGGCAGTGCGAAAGTTGTACAAGGCAGTTTTAAGTTATGGAAGAAAGAGCCACAGGGGAGAAGACAAAAAAAACGAGGGGTGGGGACCGAGGT